TCTTCCAGGCACTGGAGGAGCCAGCTTCTCCCTCCCCCACCGTTTGTTTTTTTTTCCCTTAAAGATCTATGCCCTCTTCTACTGCTGAATCCTTTTATTTAGAGCCTGCCACCTGCTTAAAAAGACAAGTTTGTCTTGCCACCCAGAAGGACTGACAGGTTTATTTAGAATTCTAATCCACAAATAAACCATCATGCAGTGTATTTTAACACTGCACAGCAGTATTTCCAGATTCATTTTGACTCAGCTCTCCTGAACAAGAATGAGCATGCACAACTGCGCTGCCACCACCAGCCAGAAATATGCTTAATTACGTTCCACCCAGTAAATAATTGTTTACAGCTCATGCAAGCCACCACATATTAAATTTATTCAGGCCATTAGGTTTTTGAGAGCAGATGGACAACACGCCAGAAGGCAAACACCGGATGGCAATTAAATTATTTTTTCAGTTCTTTTTCAAAAAGTCTGAGCCTACCTGGCTTTCAGCTTGATCCAGCATCCTCTGCACAGCTGCCTATAAATGGTGCAAACACAGGACTAGTGAAAACCCTGAAGACACGCAAAACATCTGGTTTCTTTAGTTAAGAACCTAATTTACAACACTCAGTGATTATGCATAATAAAAGTTTGGTCGAGTTTGCTTTAAAAACCAAAGCTTTACTTTTACTCTGTAACAATTTATGTACTACAAAGCTGTTAAAGGATACATCAGACAAGACCCTCATGATGACCCTCAGACGAGATCATCATGAGATGATTTTCTAATCTAAAACCTAAACAATTTTAAAAGTTTGATTTTCTTTTTTAAAACTGCCATTGAACTACTGGATAGTTAAGTATATCTCCTGCTCCAGCACTCAGTCTGGTTACAGTTAAGTTCGTAATAGTTTCACTGCACTAAACTTTTTAACTTAGAATATTCTCTGTACCACACAGAAAAACATATTGCTTAGTGAGCCTCTGATAAAGCAAAACATATAACTGTTAAAAAACTCTAATATCCTAAATTCACTGGATCTAGCGTTCCAAATACAGGATAACAATGAGGATATAATTTCCCTTCCTTCTTCTAAGTGGGCTGAGCAAAACGATAAGGTCACTCTCCAAAACTGGCTGGAAATGAGTTTTAACAAATTATTATAGGAATTTTTATTTTTTTTTTAAAAAGACATTTTAACATAACCAATACAAGAAAATAAGCTAGCATTGTTCTAATCTGGAAGATAATTAATTAAATTAAACAAGAGGAGGAGCAAATAAAAATTAAAAAACACAATCCAAGATGAGGACCCAGACAGCATCTGGTATTAATCAAGTATGTCAGATATTATCCACCGTATTAACTAAATAAATAAATAACCACAACCAAAAACCCACCAAACCAGAAAATCTATTCTCTCCTCTTAGGAAGGAAAAAAAAAAAATCATAATTTTTCTTAATCAGTAAGTCATAATTTCAATAGACTGCTCTTTCAAGAGATGGGCCAAATCAATTGAACAGCTTTCTGCTGCTGAAAGGAGTGACTCCACTCCCAGCTGGGTACTCAGTTTCACTCTGGGTACCTGTCACTGCCCTCTGTGAGACAATTTAACTCACTGAACCACTATAAATAGTAACCCAGAAAAATAAACGAACCAACAACCAACCGAAAAAGAAAACACCTTCCATCTAGTTCAAGGAGCCAAATTAGCCCAGTGAGGGCTTGGGCAAACCCAGACACAAGGACAGGGGAGGAACCAAATCCCACTGTTACCATAGTTCAAATTTCTTGGAACTGTATCTCAACCTTAAATAAAGGATGCGACCATCAATTTGTCTCTCTACTCTGCAAAGACAGAAATGGACATTTAACACAAGAGGAAGTAAGACAGGAAATACAACAACTGCTGTTCTTTTTCACTCCTCATGCAAGTGTTAGGCAATCAGTGATACAACCAGCTACTGAATGCAGGAGACAACACTGTTTGCTCCTGTCTCTTCTGCTGTGGCTACCAGACACAGTAGCAAGACACCTCCCAGTGAAATGACTGGAATCTTTTGCAACTGTGGAGGAGCTAAAATAACTGGATCCTAGAAAGCTGCAATCACCCTTTACTGGCAATAGGCCAGCCCTCACATGGGATTTCTGTACAGGACATCTTACATCCAAGTCATTCCAACTTCTAAAACTTAAGAATGTATCATTAACAGAAATGTTATCAATGACTAAAAGTTTCAGTATCATTTTTTTCTCCACCCAAGGAGGTCTGGAAAAAAGATACGTCCTGTTGGATGAGTCAGGTAAAGGAGAGCTGTAACACATGTTTTCATTAAGAACTGTGTTAAGGAACAGCAGCGATGTAATTCCATATCCCATATCCTCATTGGGCATTTTCTTCAACACTGACTGTGTTCAGCTGGGACATTAAATAAGGATTATCTTTAACACATAAAACAAAGAGTGCATATATCGGAACCTGCATTCGCAGTGTGCCTTTGCATAAAAATGATGTAAAAAGTGACATACTATCAACAACCAGGCACTTTAAAACTAGTTACTCTTCTAGGTGTATGGATTCACTAGATTCTCTTTAACAGTGAATAACAGTTTCAGGAATTCAGACAGAATTGCCAGAAGAAGTAACTAACACATTTATATGTTTGCTAATTAGAATAAAATCCCTTTTCAACATGCATGGACTGCTGCATCTGATAATGTAAGAGGATATGTAACACGTTTATCCTCCCACTGCCAGGAATCACCTCTCTCTCTTTCTTCTCCTGTTGCTTCTGCTGTGCCAGTTCTCTCTCTTTTCTTTGCTGCTCTTCCCATTCTTCTTTGATCTTCCTCTTTATGATAAAAAATATTAAAAGAAATATTTAAAGAAACAAATGCTTTATAATCACTCAAATTCAAAACTATCATGTTGTACTACAACTCCTTGACCATTAAGTTTTCATGCAGTCATAAGCAATTAAATCTCTGGACAAAAGCCCCTTTAAAGTCTTTTTTTTTTCCTTTTAAATTTTGCTCTTCTAGAATGAGCTTATGCTTTCAAATATAGCAACATCAAGAAAACTGGGTCCACCACAGAACAGTAAAAGACATTACACTAAGTCTACCTTATTGCCAGACACAATTGTAACACTCAGTTGATACATCACCTCTTCTTCTTCTTGACGTTTTCTTGCAGCCTCTTCTTTTTCTTTCTTAAGCTTGAACTCTTCTTGGGCTTTTTCTTCTCTCAGCAACCACTGCTCATGTAGTTTTTGCCTACCAAGGAAACCAGGTACCACTCAAGACAAAATTTAATGACTACCCACAACTGATGCGACTGTCGTGCGTACAATTCAAATGTATCAGCTCAGCAATAACTACAGCTTATCTAATCTTCTTTAAAAGAGAAAATTCCATAGGAATCATTCAGGTGTTAGAAAAAACCTGTGTAGCCAGAAACAAAAAGGATTCTATTTTACGGAATATATTGAAACTTTCAGAGTATCAACACGGAATTGACTACATATGTATCTACTGCATACATGCCATTTTCTAGATTTTTATTTTTTTACCTTTCTTCCTCAAGTTTTTTTTCTTCTTCTTCTTCTTCCTCATCTTCTTCCAGCTCCTCCTCTTCCTCCTCAGACACCGATTCATCTTTTCCCGTAGCCTCTAAGGAAAAACACAAAACAATGCATCTAAATAAGTGGATTTTATAGTCAGCAAAGATACACAAAATTATATCCTCTTAAAAAATGAAAAGAAAAAAAAAGAATCACTACTAGTTGCACTGACAATACAAAACCCTTCAGTTACCTGAGTCTCTTAGTTTTGCAAGTGCCTGCCGCTTTTTTTTTCGCTTTTCTTTCTTCAGAATAGCTCTGTATTTTTGATGGCTGAAGATGAAATAATATTATTTACATTAAAATGGTCACTGTGATTCACATAATCAATTTACATTACACTGCAAAATTTAACAGCTAATCGTATGATACAGTAACTCCACAGGGACATCCAACATGACAACGAAATCCATAGCTACGCTGTTAGAGCTGCACGTGGACAGCAGCCACAATCACATTCGGACACAACATAGAGGGTCTTGTCCTTCTTGAGGTCTGCAGTACTTGATGCTACTACCAACTCTGTGAATCTTAGTTCCTGAAACTTGGTCACTAGATGAGATTAGGGAGAAGAATTTGGGGATCTCCCACCCTGTAATTTTGGCATACGTTTCAGCACATTCTAGTCTTTCTCTCTTTTACAGAGCATGAAATTTTAAGTCTCTTCCCATCTCCTTTGATATTCTATAGTGGCAGCAGTCTTAACGTACAGATAACAAAAGCACACTTCACCACCCCCACAGAAAACACTCAGGTCAACTCTTCTGTTACTGAAGCTTGGCCAGACTCATCCTTGCTTGTCTGACAGCTCTGCAAGGTGGCCTAGAAATAGCATCGTGCTTTCACTATGGTTAAAAACCCTCTAGGTATCTGAAAGCCTTTTCACATCAACCTCTTTTCTGTAATTTTTCATTGTAGCTCTCTTCTTTCTAGGCAGTTTGTAATGGAAAAATAGGAGGGAGGGATGATCTTCAACTCTTGTCACTCTGCCAAGCCAAATACTGACAGGAGATTAAAATCTTCCCTTTTTAGAGTGTGTGATTTTAAAAGATTCCATAAATGTAACTCAGACAGCAAAAACCCTCACCCACATCTCTAGCCCTTCCCCTCAGGGCTACCCACAACCTCACCATCTGCACACCTGTGCACGCCATCAGTGACACCATGGTGGTTATCCTGGCAAGAGAGCACTTGCCCTCAAAGACCAGTATGTGGGTGTGCAATGCCCACATCTGAGCCTACTACCTTTGATGGAGCAAGTCTAGCGACTCCTGTCATGTCACCTGCCTAAAATGGATCTCAGCCGCTCAGCAGGTGCCTGGGGCTGACAAGTGAGAATACCTGC